GCATAAGGAATTAAATTTTAACGTTGAAAGTGATAAAATTATTCACTCAATGACAATTTGAGATTTAGATTGTGTGTTAAAATCTGTATGACTGTAAGAATATTCTTTATAAATATATTGAAATGAGTCTCTCTTAATGCTATTTTCAGTTATTTACTTTCTCCAAATTAAGTTAAAATTGATTAACATTTCTCAATGTTTCTTATAAACCGAAATAATTATAAACCGTTACGTAATAATATCCGAGGGACTAGTAAGTAATAATAGTTAAGTAATAATATACTAGGGTCTTTTGAGAAATGAAAGACATTCTCTAGAGAAGGAATTATTCTCATTACTTTAAAACGCATTTTTTTCCAGTTACAATACATACCGGAAAAACTTCAAAAGTACTCATGAACACAGTGGCCCTAAACTGGAAATCCAAATTAAGAAGCATTGTCTATATCAATTGATTTCAATACATCGAATACTGTTGAGCGGTTTTTGTTAGGGTACAGGTTTTTGTTACCGTATAGGTAGTAATTTATTTATGAGAATAATTTAGCTGGTGAGTTATTAATCAGATTGCACAATGACTAGTCTAAACTGAAAATAAGTAGAAGGAAAGTAAAGCTAAAGAAGAACCTAATTTACTAAAACTACTTTAAATATTTGAAGTTGATATAGAGGTATGAAAATATATACAGGAATAAAAATGTCAAATAATGTGATGCAAATAATAATTATTTTAGTCACAATCAGCTGTCACTAAACAGCTTTTGGAGTTAGATACATCTATTTAAATCTCTTGAAATTTAAATCTTGAAGAAGGTAGACTGCAGTTGACTTAACCTCAGTTATAACATAGAAAAACGGTTTTGTGTCAGGTACATTTTCTAGACCCAAAGAAAATAAATCGTTGATAAGGTTATGATGTTGAGTGACTCCAACTTGTCCGCAACAGTAGTAGTGACTGCTATGAGCTGTAAATTATATAAAACTCGTAAGAAGGGTTTAAATCCCTTTTTATTTCACTTTAGAAATCACAGTTGCGTTCACTTGACGCTCACAAACTACGCCGACCCGGCGGTTAAACCAAATAGAAAAGTACAACTAAAATACATGACAGGATGAATAAATAACGAAGTCACTATTTACGAGGCTCTATAATCGTAACTAACTTAACCGCGTTCTAAGATACAGCTGAGATTCAGTAAACTTACTGTTTAAGATGTTGAAAGATTCAACGAACTGCCGAAATAGGCACACAGCCCCCGAAACGCGCGATTCTTAAATTTCTACCTATCAACCTTCACGCTCGCGATTCAAGAAGCACACCTACAATCTCGTTTCCCTTCTATTTAAACTCAATTTACATCTGCTAAAATTTGAATACTCTGCGCGTTCTACTACGATTTACATACTCTGGCATTGGCAATTCTAGGGGAAAGTAAAGGCTTGATGGGAAAGATAGCTTAAACTTAACTGTTAGTTAAAACAAATATAAACCCTACAAGGTAATCAAAAACCTTTAGTAAGAATCTTTAACATCTGTATAAATGAGCTATGCGATTACTTTGTTTTTGATAGTTCTATACCGTCCGCGACAAAAGTGTGTTCTAAAGCTAAAGTGAGTAGTCTCACACAAAAGTTGACAGTCTGTAAGCTAAAGATAAAATATTATCTCAGAATATGAAGAAACCATTAACGTAAATAAATTATGTCCGCCTGTTCGGATTTCATTACATTTAAATCGAAGTACGTGATTCATGCTCTTAATAATATTATATATCATTTCCTATTACATTTTAAAACGAGGCGATTTTTTTAAATTAAAAAATTTATAGGCAACGGCGTTATCAGAATTATGTTCTAATTCCGTACCAGTATCTATAAGTACGGAGAAGTTCCTTTCATCGAGTTAAAGGTCTGTTTAACCATGGCAAAGGGGATAAGGTCTACTTTGTTTACGTGCCGGTACATTTGTGGATGACTGTCTGGAGACAGCGGCTGAGTTGCGATCAAACTGAGCAAAAGGCTAGTTTCCCTGTCGGTGAGTTTCATTTGTCAAAAACAATCTAGTTCCCAACCTGTTGTATAAGAAGAAGATGCCTCGAATGTGCCTATTAGTTAGTTTGTCACGTGATAATTTTTACATGAAACGGGACAGAATTTGAAAGTACTGGCAACGTATTCGAAGTATGGATTTTTGGGAAACCCTCGAGTTGAAAACACTTTTACTAGCTTTAGTTTTCGGCGTTGTTAAAAATTTAGCAGCAAAGCAAATTACTAATAATGACAACTTTAAAAAATGTTTCTTTCTTAAAGCTATATTTTCTTTCGCATTGCTACAGATGGATTTAGATTATTTTTCTGTGGAATAAATAGGTTTGCGCATAGAGGTCAATTAGACCGAGATTATCTTGTAGAGACATTAGGTTATTTTGAAGCAGGAATCATGAAAAATGAGCTACGCCCTCGTCGGGAATCGAACCACGGACCTCTTGAATTCACGTCGAGCGTGCTGACCACTACATTACGAAGTCATGCTAAGAAGGCGGGAGAAATACCTTATACAATCCTATTTTTTAAGGGCGACTGGGATTTTAGGGGACCCAATCGCCAAATCCTGGTGGCGGAGAATCATCATCCACCACCAGTTTTAGTTCGGGTGCCACTGTAGACCCATTAGGTTTATTTTGAAGCAGGAGTCGTGAAAGAGCTACGCCCTCGCCGAGAATCGAACCACGCATCTCTCGAATTCATGTCGAGCGTGCTGACCTCTACACAACGAATTCATGTTAAGAAGACGGGAGAAATACCTTATATAAGACAGTAGGTGTTTTGGAAGCAGAAGACGTGAAAAAGGAGCAATTCCTTCGCCAGGGATCGAAAAACGGACCTCTCGAATTCGCGCCGAGCTTGCTGAACACTACACGACGATTCTCCTCACCCAGGATGATGATTCTTCACACCCAGAATTTGGCGACTAGGTCCCCTAAAATCCCTAATCCCCTTTTAAAAGGGGGAGTATATAAGATATTTCTCCCGCCTTCTTAGCGTGCTTTCGTGGTGTAGGGGTCTGCATGCTGGGTGCGTATTCCAGAGGTCCGTGGTTCGATTCCCAGAGAAGGAGTTCCTCATTTTTCATGACTCCTGCTTCCAAAACATAAATGTTTCTACAACCTTAAAGATAAACCCTAAAACATTAAAATATATCGTGTAATGAGCATTCATTAGAAAAATTCCTTTACACGAATTCTTTATGGAATGCTCATTACATATGGCATTACTTCAGTTATCTTAGTACCGTTTTTATTCGATATATCGATATCGTTCAGGGTTAAGAATTTTACATTAACTATTTACAAACTTGGAAAGAGAGCCCACACTTTCAACCTAAAAGTAACCTTTAGTTTGATACCATACATATTCATACATACATGCTGGGAATCCATGTTGGATGGTTGTTTATGTGCTCCCGCTTAAAGTTGCTATTTTCCTGTGTAAAAGTTGATTGTGGATTGTGAAAGTGTATAATTATTTTTAATTAAGTGTTCCGCTTTCGAAAAAGGTATTGTGGAAGTTCTGAAATTGGTTTTCTTTCAAGATATGAGGAATTTAAATTCTGTCTACACCGGAACGCCCATCTTGCATGGACGAGTAGGTTTTACATTGATTATATGATGAATTATTTCTGCAATTTTAATTTGTCGGCTGTTTTAGACTCTTACATGTTCTGTCTAGTTGTATATTTAAAAGCACAGTTCTATCTTTCATGGTTTTGAATATATTTGAATTTGAAATTGTAGAGTGAGCTAGGCCTAACGAGGCTGATATTTGTTTATATTAGAAGATTTATGTTATTGGAAGGAATAATCATTTGGTGCACCATATAATTAAGTCTTTTTGCCCGATGTAGGAGCAGGTCTGCCATGTTTTGGTGTACCGTTTTCGACGTCGTTCAGCCCGTTGGTCGATTTGCTCAGTTTTTATGCTAGAACTCTCGTTTTTATTGTAAAAAATTATTTCACGCATTGCAGATACTGATTTTAGCATTTTATGGATACTTTATTGAATTTTAGAACTTTTATGAATTTTTGAAGAGAATTTGCTGTATTGGAAATTGATTTCTATCTTTTTTAAGGAGTTTTAACACTATAGATGTATTAACTTTGAACTTTTAGGGTTTTTAGAGTTTTATTATTAGGATTTATCTATATGCATTGATTTTTATGAGGTAATTTGATTTGTTGTTCCCAAGCCGACATAATATAATTTCTGATCCAAAGATGAGTCAAAACGAACTTTCGGTTACTGATACCATCTTAGATTTTGCAAGTAATGAATATGATATTCTGACGGTTATGTGTAATATGAATAAGATCGTTGACACGTTGAGGGAAAGGGAAAAGAGAGTCCCGAAGATTCTTATTGCGAATTTAAGTAATGGTCTAAATTTTATAACTGACTGGATTGCTAAAAGAGAGACAAATAATGTAAATGGTAATGAAAGATTGATAGTGAGTAAATTGGATGCGATTGAAAAAGAGGTCTATGAAATTAAGGAGAAGATGACCAATGAAACTACTCGAGAAGAACCATGGATTGAAATTAGATCAAAAAGAAATGGGAGGAAGAGAGAAATGAATAGAGAAGATAATTTAAGAGAAAATGAGGTCATCTTACGCCCGATGAAGGATGGAGTTGATGTTTATGAAGAAGTTAAATCCAATGTAGACCCACAAAAGATAGGAATTGGAATAGTTAGTTCCTTTTGCCGCAAGAACGGTAATATGGTGGTAAAACTTGAAAATCGGAATGAATGCAAGAGATTAGAGTAAGTAATTAAGAATAATGAGAAAATATGTTCTTTAGTAAGACCAAGAAGAAGGAAATTTATTAGACCAAAGATTGTTATTTATAACGTTTCAGAAGAAGTATCAGACGATAAGATTACGCAAGCACTGAAAAGAAATTGCTGTTGTAAGGGGAATTGTGTCAAGCCGTTATTTAGAATGAGGGCCTCAGAGCAGTTCGTGTCACATCGTGTGTATCAGGTTACTAGAGAATGCCAGGGTAACACTATTGAAGATCAACGATTAAGGATTGATTGGAAGGCCTATAGTACTAAGATCTTTTTAAGACCTAAACGTTGTACTAACTGTTTGGCCTTTGGACATTCAAAAAGATTTTGTGAGAATGTCAAAATATGTGCCGCCTGCTCTAAGGAGCATGGAAAGGAAGATTGTCAAAGTGAAGAGTTTATTTGCATTAACTGTGTGGAATTCAATAAGAAGTTTCACACAGATTTTGATGTACACCATCATGCTTTTTCTAAGGATTGTTCCGTATACTTAGAGGAAATGAAATTTATAAAGGATCATTTGGACATCTAGATTTTATTGAGAGATTAGGTGTCGGCGGGGACTTTTTGTTGTTTATTTTTTTAATTCAATACTAAAAAGGAGTATGATATTGTTTATCTTATTTTACTTTTTCTGTTATTATTGATTGGCCTTTGGGTAAGTATTTTATTTTGGAAGCCAGTAAAGAAGAAGAAGAAGAAGAAGATTTTGCCCTCACCCCTGGTAAGCTGCTCTGGTTTTAATAAAGACTTTGAACCTTCTGGTGTTGATTTTATTTATTTATGTCAATTGAACTTTTACCAAGACTTTTACTGGATTTTAATTGATTGATTTTAATACCGTTTTTATTTGTACATATTGATTTTAAAATATTGCTTTTAATGTGGATTGGTTTTATTTTGTTATACATGAATATTTTAAATATTAATTTAAATCATTGTGCCGCCGCTTCTTGCCAGCTCTCTGCAATTAATAATATCATTAAAGAGCCTTTGAATGTGATTACGCTGCAAGAGCCCTATACTATTAAGGGTAAGATTGCTCATCTACTTGGAAATTGGAGAGTTGTAGGAATTGATAATGGCAGGACTGGTATTATTGTTGCGGATAGCAATTTAGAGTTTACAGTAGATGTACTTCAGGATTGTATTGTCGCAATCACTGTTTTCCTGGATCAAGTTAAATTAGCTCTTATTTCAGTTTATTTTTCACCTGCAGAGGATTTGGAGATGCATTTATTTCAACTTGAAAATGTTTTTAAACTCTATACTTATGATTTTATAGTTGTTGGTGATTTTAATTCCAAGAATTTTAATTGGGGAGCTAGGGAAATGGATCAAAGAGGAGTTTTAACTTACTATTTTATCGTACAATATAATTTGAAGCTTTTAAATATTCAAGATTTTACTCCAACCTTTTTTTCCTCTGTGGGGAGTGGCTGGACTGACCTTGCACTTTGTTCATCTGGTATGGATATCAGTAATGTTAAATATGAAGTTCTAGATTTGGATACCCTTAGCGACCACAGATATATTTTGATTAATTTGAATGATATTAAAGTCAATAGTTACATTAGAAAGAAGTACTCTAGAAACATTAAAAGAATTGAAATAATAGTGAAGAAGAGTCGCAGGGATATTTTTGATATTGAAGACAAAGTTAGTTGTTCCTCCAACGCTTTAGAGTTGAATAATTGTATTAGTGAAATGGAGAGACTGTTGATTAGTAATATGAATAGATATCTATTGATTAAGAAGACCTTGCAACATAAGAACTATACCGTATGGTGGGCTAATGAATTGGACAGTCTTAGAAGGAAATTAAGAGCCTCTAGGAAAAGCTACCAAGTTAAAAACATTCCTGATGAGTTGCGTATTAAAAGGAAAGTGGATTATAAAAGAAACCTTGCATTTTATAAGAAAAAGATTAAGTTTACTAAAAGACAATATAGAGAAGAAATATTTTTGAATAGTAAATATTATTATGATAAGTATTACAGGATTGCTACAAATAAAAGAAGACAACATATTATTTTGGATAGGGAAGATAAGAATAATGATTCAGTCGAACAGTACTATGACTATTCTCCGCAGTGCTTTGAAATTGGATGAGGGCCATTCCGGTGGAGTGGAGGACTCTGTGATGAGAGACTCTTATGAAGAAGATATAGGACATGAAGAAAATAGTCAGGATTATAGAGAAGTTTATGATTCCCCTTTTACGTACGAAGAAATTTATTGTGTGATTTCAAGATTAAGAACAAGATCTGCTCCTGGTTTGGATGGGATAGGTGCTACTATTATTAAAAAATTGTTTTGTGAATATCCTTCCTTTTTTATAATTTTATATAATCGATGTTTAATTTTATCTGTTTTCCCTGACTGTTGGAAAATTGGAAAAATTGTTCTATTCCGAAGAGTGAAGGTCGTTATCGTCCAATCTGTCTTCTGAAAGTTTTTGGTAAGGTTTTAGATAAACTTTTCACAAATCGTCTTAATTTTATTCTATACAAGAAAGATTTTATTAGCCCTAGACAATATGGATTTAGAAGAGGGCGTTCTACTGAACTTGCACTTTATCTCACTATACAGTTGATTAGGGAAAAGAAGAAGGACTTTCATGTTGCACTTGTCTCATTTGACATACATGGTGCCTTTGACTCTATTGCCTGGCCTTTACTCCTTTCTGCCCTTAGGAAATTGGGTGTTATTGGAAGATTATACTACTTAATTGAAGATTATCTAAGAAATAGACAAGTGTTCTTTCAAGGTAATAGTGATGGTGTTAACCTGAAATATGAGATCACGAAAGGATGCCCGCAGGGCTCTTGCAGCGCTCACCTGTTCTGGAGCCTTATAATTAATGAAATACTTATCGATTTACCAAATATTGAAATTAACTGCTTTGCCGATGATATTCTGGTCTTGGTGTATGATTCTTCTTTGGAAAAGTTGGAACAGAGGTTTTCCCAGATAGATCATTTATTTAATAGATGGAGCCATAAACAATTTATTCGCTTTAATTTGGATAAAACAAATGCTATTTTCTTTCCAAAGGGTGGCTTTCATACTAGACCACCTAAGTTGAAATTTAACGGAAAAAAATCTACGCTTTAAGGATGAGATAAAATATTTGGGTGTTATTTTAGACCAGAAAAATTGAATTTTATTTCCCATTTTAAAGATATACAACGAAAGATAGAGAAGGTTTTAACTTTTTATGTTTATAATTTTAATCCAAGTACTCTGGCTCAGAAAGGTGCCACCCTGAGAGAAATTTATATCAGCGTTATTCTTCCCAAGATCATATATGGCATTGGCGCATGGGGTGTCCGGGCAGGGTAGCTCCTCCGTTTAAGAACTAAATTAGACTCTTTGCAGAGAGGCTGGCTCTTGGCTGTTACCAGAGCTTTTAGGACGGTCTCGACGGAGGTTCTGTGCATACTTGCTGGTGTGCCCCCTCTCTCGATTTTTTACCAGTTTTATTTTGAAAAATGTTTACTAAGTAATGGATTGAGAGACTCTTTTAATTATAATGATTTTAAAGTTTGTGCCAATTTTATTAAATATTTTAATCCGGAGAGTGTTTCTCCTATGGACTATTGTAGCATTAGTTTTGATTGCAATAAATTGGACCTACAGGAAATTGAAATTTATACGGATGGCTCTGGCTTCGAGGGGGGGAGTCGGTTTATTCAGTTTATTTCTTGGCTTTTACAGTTTATTTCTATGGACTCGAGATTTATGGACTTGAGATTACATGTAGAGAAATTTAAAATGATCTGAAGGCATAATTCAGTTTATCAGGCTGAGATGGCTGCTTTGAGGGAAAACTCTTAACTGGATATTAAGAGAACTTACTAAGAGAGGCACTGTATCCACATATATACTCAGACGCCCTATCTGTGCTAACGGCTCTCTCCCGGCCAGAGCCTAAAAATGAAATTTTGGAAGACATTAAAGATCTGTTTAAAAGAGCATTAGGATATCATGTTATCCATGTTCACTGGATTAAGGCACATATTGGACATCCTGGCAATGAGAGGGCGGACGCACTGGCAAAGGAGGCTGCTCCTGGGGGATGGTATGGATTATTTTGATGTAAGACCGGCTAGAAGAAAGAATGATCTTCAATTTATGAAGAATTTTTACTATGATAAATGGAAGCAGGTTTGGTCTACCTCTCTATTAAAAAGAAATAGGTTCTTGAATTTTATTGAAGTTTCAAACAGAATGAAATGTTATATGAATATTGATGCCAACCAGATTATAACCAATCATGGAAGTTTTCCCTTTTCTATTTACATAGATTCCATCTCCAGGGCAACGATAAATGCCTCATTTGTGATAAGATCGGTGACTTGGAGACAGCAGAACACTTCGTCGAGTCGTGTATTCTTACCCGGGGTGTGAGGCTTAAGTATGGAGACAAGAAGATTGAAGAAATGATCTTAAATAGTAACAGATTTAAAGATTTTGCTCAAGAAATAATGAAAATTATTAATGGCAATAAAGAAAAGATCGGAATTGAGAGTTAAGATCTTCTGACCTATTCAATAATTTTGTGCTCATTCGAAGGCTGATCAAGATTTTACAAGAAGTTCTTTTTATGTTTTTGTATGAATGGTTCTGTGTTGTTTTGTCTTGGTTTCATGTTATTACTAACTTTGTGGATTTTGTTATTTTCCGGGCCTGTCCCATTTTGGCCATGTGGCCGATTTAAATCGGCTGGGGGGGGCCGGGGCTGCGCCCATACAAAATACAAATACAAATACCATACATATTCAATTTAATTTAAATCCTCTTATTTTATGAGATAACAGATTATAACAGTCACGTTAATAAACCGAACAAAATAATAAAGTCATAACAAGAACACACATTTTACCGTGAATGTTGCCACATCCTGTGCTTAAAACGTTGCTTAAAATGTTTTACGTAAGAAAGTAATATAAGTTGTTACGCACATGTTTATCTAAAGAGTAGTTCATGTGCTACGATACCTTGAAGCATTCGGTATGTAAGGAAAATGTTATTATTATTATTATTATTATTATTATTATTATTATGAAAACAATGCAAGAAAAATTTCACTTGTCATAAATGGAAGTACCTACATTTGAATCTTTTATCAGAAATCTGATTTTATAGCAGATAGTATTGCAGCATTTTGCGTATGTCCTAAAACAGAAGATACGTTTCATAAAACTTTTATGGAAACGAGATAATACTGAAATAAAATCGGAAATCATCTTTAGAATCCGAACCACATGTCGTGTAAAAATCTTCCGAAGAAATTTGAAGACCAGTTTTTATTTTAGGAATTTTCTGAATGCTTTCAAAGGAAGCACTAAGATTATTGAACATAATCCAGACATCACTACTATCAATAAAGGAAGCGCCCAAAGGTGAATTTCAGCTTACATGAAAGAAAACGAAAAATAGAGACAAAGAGAGAGAGAAAGAGATGAGTGTTATGAGAAGACCGCCTACAATATGAAATTTTGGCGATGAAATAAAATGTGACCTGAATTCTGACATAAATGCAGTAACTCTTATTTTTGTGAAATTGTTTGCTGTGAAGTCCAATATGAGTAACAAATTTCTTTCGTCGGAAGAGACACAAAGCGGTCTTTGTAAGTAAAACAGCAGACAACATTGACCTTGGTAGAAGACTAATATTTCCAGTGCTAAGAAATCATCTCCCTATCTCTTAGATAATGTTTCTTGGAAAAATTAAGTCTGCTAAAATTTGCTTAAAAAAAGAACAGGCATAGCTTCGCACTTCTGTGAGCCTACGACTTTTACACTTGCTGTACTGCTATTATAGCCAGTAATAGAATTACTGTACACTTCCACATTCCTTTAGATGACAACTCCTAGAACCATGAAGAAAATCAGACCATTTGTCGTCCCGTTGTAACTTATGAGTAACAAACTCAGATGAAGATTTAAAGAAAACTTTTTATTTTATAGTCTAATAAAATTATCGATCGATATTCGAGTGTCAGAGGATACTAGTCTGACAGTCATACAAAACTGATAACATTAGCAGAAAAGTAAATGAATATTTAAGAAAAGGTACTAAATACAAAGTAACATGTTTCTGTGAAAGCTTTGGTTCAAGCCTCAGTATTTTCACGAAGCGATTACAGCTCCCGAAGCAAAGCCGATTATGTTATTTCGTCGCAGGATGAAGCAATACCTGTTAGTTGCGGCTGCTAAAGGTACTCTTTCGAACTCAAGAATTCTGCGCTTACATACATCAGATAATTTGCATCCTGGTGGGAATTAACGAAAATAAAAGTGAAAGTAAATGCAAAATAATGAAATAATTGTTAATTAACATAAAACATTTCGCTATACTGGAGACTGCCGTCCTTAGGTTATATATGAAAGTCAATCATTTATTTGTATTCAAAGCCAATAAAAAAATTCACCGTTAAGTAACCAAAAATTAATAAATCTTTTAACAACTGGAGAATTTTACTGATTGGATTGTTAATGATTATTGTCATTTTTTGGCTTTACGGAGATAGCCTTAGTATACTTTCCTATGCACAAATAACGTAACCTAACCTTGCCATTTTGAAGGTATACCATTTCAGGACCTATATCATTTCAGGATTTGATACTTCATTGAAGTACCAGATGACATGTTTTTAAAAAAAATATTCCGTGCAAAAAACGCAGGGTTAAATCTGAATATTACAAGAAATTTAATTTTTATAAAACTATAGTTTTAATTTTCTTTACAATAGCATAAAATTTATGAAATTTCTTTATTTTCGACTACTTATATACAACAATTATCTATTTATATAAATGCAGCCTGAATGGGGAAAGAGAAGCATCTCTAAAGTTAAAGCAATTATTAAAAAGTGAAAAGTCATTCATTTAAAACTTTAAACAAATTTTTAAATCATAGTATTATTAATCCGGTAAGTAATGTATTTAGTACCTGCTTGTTAACTTTAATAACTGAAGGAACATAAATTATATATAATTGAAATAATGTTTCAAAAGGGCTTTACCACTAAGTATATTTGAAGGACTAATTATTCTAGATTAAGAAATAAATTAAATATATGTCTTTTATAGTATGACAGTTTAGGAGATGTGATACCTTATTGTTAAAGTATGAAAAATTAAAATTTCTACAGGCACTCTTTACAGAGAAAAGTTCAGCTAGTAAATCGATCCTTATGCTAATAAAGATGCTATTTTAAAAACTCCTCCCCTATGATATGCAAAAGTATTCAGGAAAAATATAACAATTATGTGATTTAAA